CCCCCCCCCCCTCCCTCCCCAAATGATCAAGTAGTATCTGTGCAATAACCCATGCCATATGTCTCGTGGAAAAAACTGAGGGCCAACTCGGCCGCCCTCAGCCCAGGCCGAAACGGGGGCAAAATGGACCCCACACAAGGACTCAGGGCCTGGACGTGTGACAGTTGACTTTGGTGAACTGTCGTGACCCCAACAGTCAAAGTCCAAAGGTACCCAGTCAAGCACACACACTTGTTTGTATGCAGGTACCCAGACAGCATCAGGTCCAAGGGAGAAGTCTGCAACTGTACAATCCGGGCCCTCGGCTGTGAGTCAATCTGGACGACTGGGGGAAAAGCGCCCGAGGCCAGACAGCTTTGACAACTGCACTTAAGGCTGGCCTCGAGGGAGTCAAGCATTCAGTCTTGCTATGCTGCCTGAGCGCTGGCTTGACTTCGACTACGCTGGCAAAGTGCTGGCTCGACGCTGGCTGTATGCTAGCATTGCGGATGATGACAGGGACTGTGGCACTGCCTCTGGTCTATATGGTGATGCCTCTGGTCTACATTGCATGCTGATGTGGCGCTGCCTATCGTCTATATGGCACTGCCTCTGGTCTACAGTGCGTGCTGATGTGGCGCTGCCTCTGGTTTATATGGCGCTGCCTCTGGTCTACATTGCATGCTGATGTGGCACTGCCTATGGTCTGTGGCGCTACCTCAGGTCTACATTGCATGATGATGCAGCGCCTGCCACTAGTCTACATTGCTGGCATGGCGTGTGCCATTGGTCTTCATTGATGATCTGACGTATGCCACCTGTCTTGACTGCTGACGTGGCATTGTCCACGCTGTCTACACGAGGTGACCGGTTGCGAGGAGGAAGATCGGGATCTGCGGAAGATCGGGTTCGGGTCCTCACCTGCTGTTGACGTCGTCAATGTAATCTGCTGTGTCTTCATGGTCTTCATGAGATAAGAGTGCCACGTGGCACTACTCTGTGATCAGAATTACTTGTTATCAGATACTGGTTGCTGACGTGGAGAGGGAAGAAGCCTGGAGGAGGAGTGGGACTTTGATGGGATTACTCTTGTGTGATCTTTGATCTCCTCCACCTTCTCCTCTGTCTAATCCCCCTCCGCTCTCCTCGTCTACTGGTAATGAGATACTGTTTGGGATATCACTCACGATTATTGGAGACTTCGCTGCAGATACGGACTCTACTGGTATTTGACGACTGATGAGTATCTGCCAGACTGGGTTCATTACATCTGCTTCGATCAGTTTCATATCCTATCTTCTCCAATGTTCAAGCGTAGTATCTGTTCCAGTCGGTTTCATATCTGATCCGTGGTCGATCAAGACCTTCAAAAAAGAAGAAGGAAAAAAACTGAAAATCCTTAAGCGCACTGATCATTTTAATGGAGGAAAAAAAGAAAAAAAAAGGGAAGCATGAGCGATTTCGGAAATAAAAGAAACCGGAAACACAAGCCATTTCGGGAAAAAAATAAAATAAAGCGAAGTGGGCACGTGCACGCACGCAGCCGCAAGAGGTAAGACGCACACAGATACACACACACACACACATGCACAGAGAGAGCGAGAGAGAGAGAGAGAGAGAGAGAGAGAGAGTCCATCAACTTCTTGGCAAACATTCCATTTTTATTGCGGGCGTAGCCGCAACAGGTCCCCAAGTGCTGCATAAAATATCTTTTTTGCAGATTTTTTTGTTTCTTTTTTTTTAAACGTCAGAAATTTGTTTTTCAGGTTCGGAGGGTAGACCCGCACACCACTCCTGAACATCCGGACCCAGACTGTCCACGCTGCGGTGGGGAAAAATGAGTATTTGCCATTTGGGGAGAGGACGTCTGGATCACAGCCATGGTATGGTTGAACATGACTGGTAGATGGATGGATTTGATTGGACAAATGGATGAATCCGATCAGCAGATGGATGGATGGATTTGTTTGAGTGGAACAGTAGAAGAGTATATAGACTAGTGACCTGTTTTTGTATGTTCGACACTGTGGTGTTTTTGCTGAACTGCAGCCGAATATGGTGGTCGTAGATGTGAAGAAGCTGTTGGCTAGGAAATTTGGCAACCTTTTCCCGGAGCTGCAGCCGTTATCTGATGGTTAGTCATTGCCGCATGATCAGCACTCATTGCAGCTTTGATCTGTTCGCTTGAATGAACTTTTTTTCTCTTTTCTTTTCGACTCATTGTTTCTTCGGCCTGAGGTACACACGACGACAACTTTGTCATTGCCTCGATAAGGAAATGACAGCAAGTGAGTGCTGGAGCCAACCATGGTAAAGACATGGCTGCAAAAATATCCCATACACTTGGTGAGCATATGGCAGCAAGAAATGTCCGGAGATACGGGCTGGGGGGAGGGTGGGGAGGAGGCAGCAATTGTTTTGTGAAAAAGTGATTAAGAATTCGAAATATCAAATAAATTATTACTATTTATTAGTGTATTTACTTATTTTAGAAATTAATAAGTACACAAGAATTATCCCCATATGTTCTTTTTCTTATTGTAATAAATGAAAAATGTGGTACTATTAATTACTTTACTACTTTTACTATTTTAGTATTTTATTATATTTGGTCCCATTGGATCAATCTATCGAATCTCGAAGCCCGAGTCTCAATGTTTTGTCCCCGATCTTTCTTTGGGTCGAGCTGGAATTTCAAGCAGAGCGAGATCCAAAGATTATAAAAGTGCAATGTTGCAAATCACTCCCATTATCCCCAGAGATTTGCAGCAAGTCAAGTGGTCCCCATTAGCGTAGTGAGAGGAAGATGGAAGACCGAGACCGATTCTTTCTTTTTCCGTTTTTGGAAGCGCAATTTTTGTCTTTTATTGTTGGAAAACCATTTGTGAGGATTGAGCCCTCAAGTAGGGGCCTTGCCATGATGTACATGTTCTGGGCTAAGGCCCCAGCAAGCCTAGTGCCCGCCCTAAGTGAAGGCGGGCCAGCAAATCGACAAGAGCCCTCTGTGCAACATTTCACGAAGTGGGGTTCATACAGTTGCAGCGCGCCAGTTGGTTGGAGTGCACCGAGTCTCGGATTTCAGCAAATGCTGAAAGCCCAGGGCCTCTGAGTTGGTTAGGCCCTGGGCATCTGAACGTGAGGCCGACAATTCATGCTGGGAAGAGAGGCCGAAAATGCCAAAGGGAAATCGGCCCACTGTCTGAATCTGGCCGCAGGCCTTGATGAAGGAGGCGCAACTGCCTTACCCCGGGGCCCAACTGTATCGAGTTGGCTTCAGCCTCTGGGCCCCGGTCACAGGCTGAAGGGAGGCCGCCCACACACTGCACTGGCATATAGGCAAGCAGGGCGAGGCAGCGGGGATCTTGGCCAATGCTGGCATATGYGGGCACGCTGCGCAGATGCAAGTGTGCTGCGCTAATGCAGAGCAGCGCTGCGCTAAGAAGAAGCAGGGCAGCGCCAGGCGGTAGGGCRCTGCCTGCTTGCAGAGCACTGGCGGCCATAGCCGGGCYGCAAGAGGGTGCAGGGGAGGTGAGGGCGAAGGTGGTACTTCGGAGGTGAAGGGCGCTGTGTGGGTAACAAGGGAGAGTGTGGGGAAGATGACACGTACCTGGTGATGGTGGAGGTCTGCATTGGTGTTGACATCATCACTCGCTGGTAGTCAAGTTGTCTGGTTGCTGTTCATTGCTGTAGTTGTAGGATAGGCTGTAGAGTAGATAGGGTGCCTGGCGCCATTCACAAGAGAGAGCTACATTTGGGTTATGCTGTTGGTGTTG